GGAAAACAAATGAAAAATTCCCCATGGTAATTAAAGAGCATTCTGTACCGTATACTCACAATTAAATTAATGACAGCTAGGATAAATAAGAGGATAATCACACAGATGGCTAAATTGCCCTTTCTTCCTCTCAATCCCGTTTTATGGAGACGATCTTCATCAATTGGAATGTATCCGGCTTTAAAGTTACTGTTGTGCTCTTTGTTAACGTTCCTTCTCTCAACAGCCTTCTCACGCATGGACTTCTTTACAGGACCATTGGAACTTTGCTAAAGACAAAGCACAATGTAACGGAACAAGTGTACCCTCCTCTTTTTGATGCATTTATGTATTACGTGCAAATTCATAACTAAAGGAAGCTGAATTGGTTACTGATATATTTTCCACTAATAACCTGTGAGTCACATTGAACTGTAGGCTTCCAGTAAGGACATGGTTGTGCTGAGAGAGTATAGATAGAACCTTTAGTGTAACTAACTGATAATGTATCTTCCTTCTCTGCTTTCAATAGTCCTACTGTCAGTAAAGCGTACAGCTCACTTCTGGGCAGTGTTGTCATATATATCCTACAGTAGGTAATCTTGTTTTCATTAATAATTTACCAATTTGTTTACTCTCCGTATCTGTGGGTTGGCACTCCATATCTGTGGGTTCTGCATCCGTGGATTCAACCACTGCAGATTGAAAATATTTGAAAAAAATGCATGACTGTCTCTGTACTCATCATGTACAGACTTTTTCCCCTTGTCATTATTCCCTAAACAATACAGTATAACAACTGTTTACATAGCATTTACTCTGTATTAGGTATTATAAGTAATTTAGAGATGATAAGTACGGGAGGATGTGCACAGGTTATATACAAATACTACACCATTTTATATAAGTGACTTGAACATCTGTGGATTTTCATATTTGTGGGGGGCGGGTCCTGAAACCAATCTCCCACAGATACTGAGGGACAACTGTGTGTGTGTGTGTGTGTGTGTGTGTATTCATTTACATAAAGACAGCTTGGAAAGGCTGCCACAGTTTGTTGCTTGTAACTCCATTGACTGATTGAAGCTAACATTATTCTAGAACAGCACTTTTTAAAGTATGGGGTAGGGAGTCCTGAGAGGGTTCCCTGAACCTCTTCTGGGATCTGTATTTTAAAAATAACACTGAGATGTTATTTTACTTTTTTCACTCTCCTAGTCTCATGAATGTACAGGCTATATGCAGTGACATCGTCACTCGGTTTCTGGCTAGGCTAACCAAGTGAATGGATGGTTGTAATCCTCTTAATAGTGACTATGACGCAGTCCAATTCTGAACATTTATGGAAAATTCAGTTAAATTCAGGGCTGCTAAGCATAAATTTGAAGTGGAGATTGAGGAATGGATCAGAATGCCGAGATATTGTGTAAAGCAAAAATAGAACCTCAAGAGTATCAATGGGTATGATATAGATGGAAAAAGAATCATCTAAAACAGAAGCTGATAAACTAGGAGGGAACTCAGGAAGGCCGAGGAATGATATTAACCTCAACAACCCCAAGCTTCCTCTCCTTTCAGTTTCACCCATCCCTTTACATTTTATTTCACTGTTACAAATCTGCACCTTGCCTATTGTCTTTAGCTGATTTTTCTGCATTTATCTGGCTGTTTGACTTTAAGCTCCTTGAAGGCAAATTTTG